GGGCGCGAGGCGAAACTCACAAAATTAAGTGTGAACGCCGCGTTGACAACTAGTTTTCTGACCAACGGAGCAGGAGGAGGAAGAGGAGGAGGAGGGACGAGAGGCAATAGTCACAAAACCAAATGTGAATACCGCGTTCACAACTACTGCTCTAACTCACTGAGGAGAAGGGGGAGTGTGGTGGTGGTGATGGTGGTGGTGGTGTGGTGTGGTGGTGGGAGGAAAGCTTAAATGTGTTATGTGTTGTTGTGTTCTTTTTCCCCACCCTCCACACACACACACACATACACATACACCTACACACACTCAGAAACACACACCACCACCGCCACCACCACCACGACCACTTTCTGACCGCCACCACCACCACCACTTGAATGGGACATGGCTGCGATGAACTGCTCAGGCACTGCACCGCGCCCAGTGGGGTCTCAAGGACCCCTACAGGCTGCCAAAGGAAATCGAACGTTTTTCTTCAGGAGGTGCGAGGCTCCCTTGAGGAAGACTGGTGGTTTCGAACGTAATACGATGGCTTTCGTGGAGATCCCTCACGACTTCCGAGAGAACCTGAAGGAAGGTCGTTATGAAAGTATGATGTTTGCAGGGGGGATTCGACTCCTATGATGGGCTTGTTTTCCACCACCACCACCACCACCACAAGTTGGAGGGGGAGGGAGTCGTCCTCCTCCTGCTCCTCCTCCTCCTCTTCCTCCTCCTCGTCCTCCACCTCCTTCCCCCCTCCAACTTGTGGTGGCGGTGGTGGAGAACAGGCCCATCATCCTAAACCGTAGTAGACAGCCGTGCTCTTGGTGCCCGCTGCAGATGGTGTCCAAAACCGACGGTGACCGCTGCTGGGCGGGCGACTTCGTGCATCACACGGGCAACGTCACTGGCAACGCCGCAAGTGAGCCCTGTCCGAAAATCGGCAACAACTGCTCTCGATGTTCGTCCCCATTCTTTCCGTACCCATTTCTGTCGCGATGGGATCCCACCAGCCTTTTCTGGGCAAAGGTGGTCACACGTTATATGCACACAGAAATACATCTATGCATACTCATATATATATATAGAGAGAGAGATATGTATGTGTGTGTGCCTTTCCCTTGCCAAAAACAGTTTCCCTTTCGGGAGGTGTACATCCCCCCCTCCCTGGGGTTTTTTGAGGGGGGGCGGTCGGTCAGGGCGCCTCAGATGGCCCAAGATGGCTCTACGAGGGCCTCCGATGCTCCAAGATGGCCTCCGAGGCGGCTCGAGAAGGCCGACGATGGTTCAAGATAGCGTCCGACACGCCTCCAAGAGACCCGACGAAGCCACAGTGCGGCTCCAATTGCTCTCGGAGCCCCACCAAATCCCCCCATGAGGCCAACATCAGCTTAAAACTTCTGGAAAGCATAGATGTTTGCCTTTTCGACGTTTCGCTTCCGATGAGCTTTTTGAGGCCTCAAGACGGTCCTTCGAGAGAGCCCCAAGAGGGGCTCAAGAGGGGCCCCAAGAGCTCCCGAGAGCGCCCAAAGAGCGCCCCAAGAGGGCCCCAAGAGGCGATTTCGGTGCCTTTTGGGGAGGTAGCGCGAAATCGGGGACACCCCATCTTATGACCGATATCCTGCAAGATGGCCTCAAGACGCGCCCCAGTGCTTTCAAGGCACCCCCAAGAGGGCTCCAAAAGGGCGCAACGAGGGCTTCAAGACCATCCAAAAAAGCCCCAAGAGGACACCAAGATCCCCCGAAAGAGTCCCAAGAGGGCCCCAAGAGGCGATTTTGAAGGCACTGTCCTTGTCCTCGTTGTCCTCCTCCTCCTCCTCCTCCTCCTCCTCCTCCTCCTCCTCCTCCTCCTCCTCCTCCTCCTCCTCCTCCTCCTCCTCCTCCTCCTCCTCCTCCTCCTCCATTCCTTCTCCTTATAGATAACTCCTCCCTGTCGCACCCCGAAGCCAGTTTTTACGGCAGGCCGGGCGCTTCGCGTGAGAATTCCTCACCACGTATGACTCTGAAGCTTAGACAGTGACAACAGCTTCGCATATCGAGGGCGGGTGGTTTTCAGATTGTGGCTCTCGCCTTACAGCAGCGCACACTCGTTTAAACTATTGCAGTATCTTCACGGATTGATGGCGGGTGGTTTTCAAAATGTGGCTCTCGCCTTAGCGCCGCGCGCATTCTTTTTGAACAAGTTGCAAGGGCTTCACGGATTGAGGGCGGGTGGTGTTTTAAAATGTGGCTCTAGCATTAGCGCGGCGCACACTCTTTGTAAACATTGCAAGGGCTCCACGGATTCAGGGCGGGTCGTTTTCAAAATGTGGCTTTCGCCTGAGCGCCGCGCACATTCATTTAAAAAAGTGCAAGAGCTTCACGGATTGAGGGCGGGTGGTTTTCAAAACGTTGCTTTCGCCTGAGGGCCGCGCACATTCGTTTAAGAATTTCCAGGAGTTCCGCGGATTGAGGGCGGGTCGTCTTCTAAATGTGGCTCTCGCCTGAGCGCCGCGCACACTCATTTAAAACATTGCAAGAGCTTCACGGATTGAGGGCGGTTCCTTTTCAAAATGGGGCTCTCGCCTTACCGCCGCGCACACTCGTTTTAAACATCTGCAAGAGCTGCACGGGTTCCCATGATCAACGTACCAGAAATAGCGTTTTGGAAGGATTGGGGATTATGCGGGTGCAACAATTATGTGGATAAGCGGTGATGCAGTCCCAAAAATGGCGTGCTGGCACGATTCCAGATCGTCAAAACGCAGCAGTAAGGCTCATCCGTGGCGTGGAAGTCCCGAGAACAATGTTTTGGCATGCTTCAAGGTCTTCAAACGGTTGTTCTCCAACGAGGCAGCTCCCTCAATGGAAATGAATCGTCGTAGGGGTCTATGCAGAGGGAGCTTCAAGAGAGGGTCAATTCCAACATCGTTGATGACTCTTGGGTTTACGCTGGTCCTCCTCCTCCTCCTCCTCCTCCTCCTCCTCCTCCCCCTCCTCCTCCTCCTCCTGCTCCTCCCTCCCTCGCCCCCACGTGGGCCCCAGGGATGGCCCGAAGAGGCCCTCCAGTTCAGGCCCCCCTTTGCTCCCAGCGGCTTCCCTTTTCACCCTCGTTGACCGCTCTGTTTTACTGCACGTGTCTCTTCGGTCCTCCTCCCGTGCACCCTCATGGGACTCATGCAGGGGCCTGTGAGTGGGCTGGTGGGGACACGCGCAGCGCGAAGAGCTTGGTGCCTCCGGGCCCCGCTTCTCTGGGCGCCTGGGGATCTCCGGGAGCGGCAAAGACGGGGGTGTCCAAGAGGGGGGGGGTGCAAATCATGACCGGCGGCATGTGCGCGGCCCAGCGGGGGGACCAGGGACGTAATGAAACAAGAAGAGGCGCCATGAAATCTGAGGAAATATCATGGCCCCCGCCATGAGATCCACCCCCCCCTAGTCATCACCCCCGTCTTTGCCGCCCCCGAGATCTCCCAGGGCCAGCGCGGCTGCGGCCGCGCCCCGGGCTGCCAGGCGAGCCCGCCCGGGGGGCGCAGGAGGCTCGCCGCAGGGCCCGCGGGGCCTTTGCGCGCGGCTCCGCCGCACCGCCGACAAAAACATGTCCGCGTCCACCGCGATGGGGCTGTGGTTTGGCGCGGGTAGTGGATGCAGGGCAGGTTTTAATACATGGGATTTAAATATGGGATTTTTAATATACATGCTTAAGTTACGAGTAAATGTATGCATGAACTCATCGTCGTTTTAATACCAAATCCCTGCATATTAAAAACTGCCCTGTACGGAGGTCTGCCCGCCACGGAAGGCGGGAGGATACGCATCCGCACCCACCCCTCCTCGGGGCCCCAGGGGCACGCTCCCGCAGCGGCGGTGCTTGGACACAGCGTGGCGATGGACCCACCTCTGACCCCGTGCAGGGGGGCGGTGGAATTACCCCCGCCAGGGGCCATTGCCTGCACGCGGTGCGGCCCCCAGGCTGACAAGGGTAGCGCGACGCCCGCTGGCCAGATGACGAACGTACGGGGGAAGCCGCGCCCTGACGGCGCATTGGCAGACAGGTTGGAGACGCAGATCGCACGCGTGCCAGCATGCGCGGAAGCGCACGGCTGCACAATACCTCGGGGAACCGTCGCTGTGGCCTGTGTTTGCGACGATGAGGCCATCGACAAGAGGGGGGCATGAGATCTGGGACATGTCACGGCCCCTGGCACGAAATCCGCACCACACCCGGCCTAGGGTCGGCAACTTTGGACAGCGTGTCGCCGCGGCGGCCACGGCGACACCCTGTGCCTGCGAGTGGGACGCGTGCCGCTCCGCTCCGCGGGGCGGGAGGCTCGGGAAGGCTAAGAACTGACGCCTCGGGACCGCGAAGCGGACAGCGTGTCGCACTGAAGCGCGGCGGGCCCGAGCCAGCAGAGCGACACGCCATCCAAAGTTCCCGACCGTGGTCCTCCGCCCCACCTTCGCCGCCCCAGACAGGGGGGAGCCTCGCGCCAAACACCCCGCTGCCCGTCCTTCCGGCCCTCGGCTTCCCTGCCCTGTCCTCCGCCGACGCCCTCGCTTCCCCGAAAGGTTCCGGCGCGCAGCGCCTGGCATCGAGGGCGGTGCTGAGGGCCGGAGATGTCCAGACCCACTTGGAGACGTGGCCTGGGAGTTTGGCTACAGCGACAGCAGTGCGACACCACGCCAAGTGGGCGACGAAAAAAGGAGCAGGTCTTACACGAGATGGCCCGGCGACCTTACGCAGTGGCTTACGTGGGCCGCCAGCGCGGCACGCTACATTGGCAACGATGGCGCTTACGCGCGACATTACGCTGGCAGCTTACGCGCCAGTGTCGGTGAAGACGACCCCGTTGTTCTGCGTCTTTCAGGTGGCCGACTAACCACAGAAGCATCAACAAAAACATCCTCCTCCTCTCCCCCTCCCCCCCCCGTTCCCCCTCCCACTCCTCCCCCTCGACCTCTTCCTACTTCCACTGCACGATTCTCCAACAGACCTGGATAAATAGACCCTCGCTCCCCAGGCCACTTGGCAGGCCAGCGACCTCTTGAGCATACTCTCGATGCCGAGGTTCCCCGTGTCGTACACCGTTATCGGCCGCCTCGGATGTGCAGGGGATGAAGGAACAAGGAGAGAAGAAGGCGAAGGAGGAGTGACGACGACGAGCACGAGGAGGACGATGATACGCACGAAGAGGAGTGATTCCCAAACGCCCGTCTGCGACCGCCTGAGAGTCTCCGAGGCACGCCCCGCTTCGCATAGGGAGCACGCCATCCCCAGACCGCCCGTGTCCTCAAGCGATCGACACGACCAGCTTTCGACGTGTTAGCCGCCTTGAACATGGGACCTGCACATACAAATCCGCTGCGTGGAAGCAGCACGAACGCACTGGAAGAACACGCACTGGACGCACTGGAAGAACACATTATAGTCTGGCGCTGGAAGAACACGTTATAGTCTGGCACGGCGACGACGTCAACGACGGACAGGCGGACGGAAGGACGGACCGACCCTCAGCGGCGGCGGCGACGGCGGCGGCGGCAGCGACGGCGGCGACGACGACGACGACGGCAACAACGACGGGGACGACGCCGACGCCGCCGACGACGTCGACGGCGAAAGTGACAAAAACGACGATGACAAGAACAACCGAAACGAAGGCGACGGCGACAAAGGTGACGGCGACGATGGCGACGGCGGCGGCGGACCGCCGCCGACGACGGTGACGAACCCGCGGGGGGGGTCCTGGTACGGAGAGATTCCGTGGGTCCAGAGAAATCATCACTGCGTAGCATTCGTAACGACATTGATATTCGAGATGGCGTAGTTTTCGGGCGCTATTCTTCACAAGATTCGCACCCCCCTCGCAAGAGCCAGGACACCTCCGCCCCTCAAAAGTTCTTTCCCTCCTCACGAACCGGGATTCCCCCCCATTCCGGGGAGAATCCACCCCAAAAGGGGAAGTCAGGGGGGGTTCAAACCCCCACCTTGCCCACAACACCCCTTGCGCGCCAGCAAACGTCGACGACGGGCACGAAGACGATGACGACGACTGCGACGATGACATTGATAACGACGCACACACGAACAACAACAACAACAACAACAACAACAACAACAACAACAACAACAACAACAACAACAACAACGACAACGACAACAACAACAACAACAACAACAACAATCATTTAAGACTGGGGACACTCCGTTCTCACCAGTGCCAGGGTTTTCATAGGAGGCGGGCAATACCCCCACTTTGTGGGGGGGCCGGTTCAAGCTCTACCAAATTTCCAAACGACTCTTCGCCACCACCCACACCCAGCTTCCCGCCCTATGACGTTCGGACACTTCACTTCGTGGCATGCGGACGACCGTGGCTACTATTCAGGGCCCCGCGGCCGACGACGACGGCGTGCGCGCGCGAAGAAAAAACGAATGTGTCCCGCATGGTATTATTTGACAGGGATGATGGCCCTGGCAGGTGCGCAACCGTTGTCGCAGAAGTTCGAAAAAGTTGCTCGCAAAAGCCCGTTTGACAGAAATGTTTAAAAAGTGTTGGGTTTCCTACGAATCCGCAAGAGCGCGCGGGATGAGATTTTGACATTTTTTGTTGAAAAACCATTGGTTTTTTGATGTTTTTATGTTAAAATCGCTCGAACACTAAGGTTTTGGAAGGATTTCGTCTTGCGCGCGCGAATGTCCACTTTACCTTATTTTTTGCAAGGGATTCTTGAAATTTGATTATATTAGAACAAGAAATGTCATTTTATAGTGTTTTTTGCAAGGGAAAACGGATTACAACAAAACAACCGGATCTGGATCACATCGTTTTACCTGAGGCTTCCTCACGAAAATGATGAAAATGTAGCTGCGGCCTAGGCGGCGCAGGGGGGGCGCGCACCAGGGGGCCCAACAATAATTATTCTTTAGAATAAATAATGTTCAACAACAACAACAACAACAACAACAACAACAAGGTCAAGGCGGTTCTGAGGGACGCGCCCTCGCTGTAACGTCCACTAGAACTCAAGGCGGGTAACAAGTACGCGTGGCTAGCACCGCCCCCCCCAGCAACCCAGCAACAGGGCAACCCAACGAAAACAACAACAACAACAACAACAACAACAACAACAACAACAAAAATGCTCTCCTTACGTTCCGCCGGCGAAACTCCAAGCGGATTCCGATATTTGCCCCGGCGAGGCTCCGGAACGGGATCCCTATAGGAACCCAATGGGGATCCTGCAGGGCATATAGGAAACCTTGGAGAGACCCTATCGAGATCCCTATAGGGTCCCTTTAGGAACCCCATAGAGACACTATAAAGATCCCTGTAGGGTCCCTTGAGGAATCCTGTAGAGACCCTGCAGAAATAGAGATAGGGTCCCTTTAGGAACCTTATAGAGATCATGTAGAGATCCCTATAGGGTCCCTCCAGGATCCCTACAGAGTCCCTATAGAGATCGCTATAGGGTTCTAGAGACCCTTCAGAGATCATGCAGGGCGTGTAAGGTCCCTATAGGATCCCGCTGGGATCCCTATAG